AAGTGGTGGGACCTAAGGTGGGCCCAAAGTCTGATTAAGAACAAAATTTTAGCAACATGAATGGAACGAAAAAATGCGCCGCAGCTATTCTCTATCTCCGTTGTCACCCGGTATGAAATAGTAGGTATGTAGATATGAAGTGACTCAAACACTTTTCAATATTCTCATTATGGTTATTCTCTACTCACTCTATAAGATAGTATTTCTTATCTATACTTACCCTATTATAGTTGTATAGATGATCAACAGGAAATGGGCAAAGAGAAATCAATTGATTGTTCTTATATTGATTTCCAGATGCCAAATCACAAAAGACATCTGGACCATTACCTTGGAATAATTTGAAATATTGAGCAGGGATTTTTTTCCATATTTATGCTACAACGGAAGGAGCGATGAGGAGCAGATATTGGATGTTCTTGGCTACATGATGTGTTCGCATAGTTGGATTGATCCATTGATCTCATTCAAGTTAATTTCTTCACTATTATACAGGGTATATCTTCAACAGTTAACGCGATCTATATATGGAGAACTAAAAGTAGCACGATTCTTAAAATTTGTAGGGACGATGAAGGAATTATGGGAAATCCTTCTAAAATATTTTCGTTATTGTGAAGCTTCTGATTTTTCCGAAAGTGACTTCATCTTTGTTATTTCCAATGGAACACCCTGTATTATTCAACATTTTTGAATTCCTCTCATAATTTTGATTCAAATTAATGCATCATACCTCATACCCAAAATGGAGCGTTCTTGAGTTATTCGAGTTTTTCTTGAAAAAGTTCGACAAAATTTGTCATTCAATGCAGCCTTTTGAACATAGAAAATTTTTATGGGAATTTAAATTTCAAGTGATATGCATATTGATTAAATCGTGAATATTGATTGATCTGGAACATTGAAAATCTCAATTTTTTTCGAATGAAAACCATATTTTTTTCCATCATAATTCAATTCTATAATAAAAATGAGCCCTAGTTCGAAGTGACTTCCCTATACCCAGAACCAAAAATTTTGGAGATATTCCAAAAATAGTTTTTAATCCTGCATACTTTTTCCAGAAAAACACGAATAAGTCAAGCACGCTTCATTTTAGGTATATATATATACTTAAGTAAAAGTATGCAGGATTAAAAACTATTTATGGAATATCTCCAAAAATTTTGGTTCTGGGTATAGGGAAGTCACTTCGAACTAGGGCTCATTTTTATTATAGAATTGAATTATGATGGGAAAAAATATGGTTTTCATTTGAAAAAAAATGAGATTTTCAATGTTCCAGATCAATCAATATTCACGATTTAATCAATGCATAGCACTAAAAATTTAAATTAGGGTATGATACATAATTTTGAATCAAAATCATGACTTGAAGAGGCCATATTTTGAGGAAAATTACTGTCCGGAGCTTCAATAGTATAGAGGAATACAGAAATGTAAAAAAATTCAGGGTGTAATTTATATTGAAAAAAAAAAGATGCCCTCACTTCTGGAAAAAACGGAAGCTTGACGATAACAAAAATATCTTAGTTGGATGCTTCATGTTTCCTTCACCGTCATTACGAATGTCCAGAATTGTGCCACTTTTAGTTCTCCATATACCGGGTGACACAGACTCATGGTATACGCCCCTTTTCTAATTTTTTTCTTCTAGCTATATTTCTAGAAGTTGAAACATCTCTCACTAGAGGGCACTTTCTCACATTTTAGGATTTTTTCCACCTTTCCGTTTTCCTGGAAATGACTTCAACTTTCGATTTTCAAACGGAACACCCTGTACTTTATTTCATGATTGGTTGGAGATTATTATAACGAATTCAACGATACCGGGTTTGATTGGGTTATTTCAAACGATCACGAAGATATTTGCGTTCGAAGTTTCGATATTGCGCCGTCACAACCATTGATCATAATATGGATACTTCAAACGTAAATATCTTCGTGATCGTTTGAAATAACCCAATCGAACCCGGTATTGTATTTGTTATTATAGTCTCTAACCAATTGAAGAATAAAATATGGGGTATTCCATTCAAAAATCGAAAGTTGATGTCAATTCCAGAATAACTGGAAGATAAAGAAAGTCATAAAATGTGAGATAGTGCCCTGTATATAGTCAGCATATTCGATGTTCTAAATTTCAGTAATATAGCTAGAAAAACAAAGGAGAAAGAGGGGTAGACCATGAGTATGTGTCACCTGGTAATCCCGGTATAGATATCGCCTTAACTCGTGAAGATATTCCCTGTATAATAATCATTTCAACAATGTCCAGGCTAACGCTGATTCTAAAATTTTAATCATTGTTAGATGTAGCTATAGTTTTGCTCAATATTACATGTACGTACATATTTTGATGTGAAATGAGATTAATTTTCAATAAAATCGAGTAGCCTTGTGAAACGTTTGAGTTATCTATTTGACCAGAGATTCGACACCTATCAGTCCTCTCATTGAATACCTTCATCAATCTACATGTGATTTCACTAGAGAATCAAAACTAAATGTGTATGTGGCATTTTTGAGAAGCACAATATAATTTTCTCAGGGCCGCTATTATATCAGTATAATAATCGAAAAGAACCTCACATTTAGAAATGGTCGATGGTTTACCAAACCTCACATTTTGATTATAATGTAACCTCAATGTGAGTCTAATTTAAACGTGAAATCTAGAGTCACATTCAGCTAACTTTGAGTCCCATTCGGCATCTAAATGTGAATCATAAAATGACCAAAAGGGTCCGGAATAGCAGTCATTGTGATTTCAGTAGGACTCTCAATTCGAGTCACGGATGTGATGTGTGGCATGAATGTGATGCCCTCTAATATCTCTGGGATCAATCTGTGTTAACTGGGTATCTATTAGGTTACCTTTGATGAGCATAGCCCTGGCCATCCCTGCAGTTTCACCAAACAAAATTATGAAATTCTTTCTGGTTCCAACTCGAATCCCAAGGAAAGCGATCCCACTTATTCTGGTTTTATATGACAAATCTTGACAAAACACAATGTTTGCCCCTCAGCAACCTGTCAAATGACGTAATTCTGGAATGATCAATTGAGAATTGATATTCTCTTCCAGAATCGGATGAATAATATGATGAATATAACGATATAAAAAATATATTACTCACCAAATTGGTATGAAAATTGGAAAAGAGATGTGCATATATCCCAAACATCATGGATACGAATGATTTTTTGATAAATTCACTACTCAACAAGAACAGAGTATGTATACTGGTATATTTCTCCCATACATTCCAATTTTCATACCAATTTGGTGAGTAATATATTTTTTATATCGTTATATTCATCATATTATTCATCCGATTCTGGAAGAGAATATCAATTCTCAATTTCAGACGATATTCATTTTATTCTCAAATTCCTATCGTGTATGTTCAATTGATATAATTCAATGTTCGTCGTGGCATATAGCCAGGGAAGTAGTTGTTTTCTGTTGAATATGCCGAGAAAGAATCAATATTTTCATCACATAGAGAATGCGAATTCTCAATGTATTTATTCAAATGTATCCATTTTTTCATGTTTATAATATATCTGAGAATATTCCTTTTCAATACTTTCATACCCAATCAAGGGGTTCAAACTTGAACGATGGAAACTTGTTATTTTTATAGACCTTCAATCGCAGATTCGTGATTGGGTTTTTCTCAATTCAGAATTTCTTTCCACGCCCTGTATGATAAATGTCAGTTTGTCATACATCTAAAACAATTGCCACCCACATGACTGGAGATAAGTCAACAAATTTTCATTCTCAGATAGATGTCAGTTCCACTATAGTTTTAGTTATATTATTATAGAAATGTGAAAATTGTGTATTGAATGAAGAATGGCTGAAGGAATGACTGGACTTCAGGTTACTGAGGAGAGTTTGAAACTCGAAATGAATTTTATTCGAATCAAAATCATCTAACCTATGTGAAAGAGATGTGCATATATCCCAAACATCATGGATACGAATGATTTTTTGATAAATTCACTACTCAACAAGAACAGAGTATGTATACTGGTATATTTCTCCCATACATTCCAATTTTCATACCAATTTGGTGAGTAATATATTTTTTATATCGTTATATTCATCATATTATTCATCCGATTCTGGAAGAGAATATCAATTCTCAATTTCAGACGATATTCATTTTATTCTCAAATTCCTATCGTGTATGTTCAATTGATATAATTCAATGTTCGTCGTGGCATATAGCCAGGGAAGTAGTTGTTTTCTGTTGAATATGCCGAGAAAGAATCAATATTTTCATCACATAGAGAATGCGAATTCTCAATGTATTTATTCAAATGTATCCATTTTTTCATGTTTATAATATATCTGAGAATATTCCTTTTCAATACAATTTCTAGGCTCGGATGTAGATCAAAAACTATATTTTAACAGTCAAGTTGACTATAAGGACCTTTATCATGTTATGTAAATAATCAAAAGAGATTAATAAAAGTCTATTACATAGGTAGAGATATGTTGAGGGCATCATCAGAAATTTCACTTTATTCAAGGTTGAATAGCGCCATTGAAATTCTGATTTTTTAATTGGGTTTCAGCTGTAAATTTTTATGCATTCTGCCGACAAAATTCTCCAAAAATTATTAACATTTTCATGAAATAAAATTGAACGATTGATTCGGCAGAGGACTCTTAGTTATCGTTAATCGATATCACAATAGGTAGATGATTTTTTTCATAATCCGCATAGTACATTTTCAGAGTTGTTAAAGTTGTAAGGTTTAACTGAGACTTCTAATTCAGTCACCTACAGATACTCCGTGATTCACTAGAAAGGTTTGAATCCTTTAGTAAATTGAGTATTTATTGGAACATAACTTCAATTTTCAACTTCAACATCTTATATCCCGCAGGAACTTTTCGTCCTGAAACTAACCAACGGATTATTTTGGAACAGCCTGTATATGTATAACACGGACTCATAGGCCCTCAATATTTTCAGCTGCTATAGATTGTGACACCTTGGGTACCATCATCTACGAAGACATCGGCTGTCGACCAGTAACCAAGGAAGGGCAAAATTGCCCTGTCAAATATGATTGCGACACAGTACCTAGAAATAACACTTGCATGTTTAGAGGGAGAACTTTGAGTGTGGGTCAGCAGGTCGACAATGATCTTACCTACGATTCATGCAATGTTGGATGTCATTGTAGAAACACGTAAGTTTATTTACAACCATATATGTAATGTTGTCATTACTAACGTCATTGAAGGTTGAGAATCTCACGACAGGAATGAATCACTTCCCACCTCAGTGTGTGATATACTATTTCATCATCAGTCATACATACCGCTAAAATACAACCTTACATGGCCTATTTTACCATAAGGCACATGAAGCCCGGGCCTTGGGCCCGGTGTAAAGGGGGGCCCGGTTGGGAAAAAATATTTTTAACTATTCCAATTAAGATTTGATTGAGGAAATACGACGTATCTGATGAATGAAATGAGATTCAATGTGATGATATTGATTTCTCTCTCTTATAGAACCATCATTATGTTTTCAGCTGTTCAGGGATTCTGAAAGCTCTTGTTTCAACCCAGTTTTAGCCATCATCAATTTTTCATTTTGTTAGTTTTTCCTCAAGCACAAGCAGAACTGCTTTTTATTTTTTGTTGTTGTGTTGTTATTTGTTTTAGTATTCATAAAATATTATCGGATTCATGCTCGTTTCTTTGCACTACCCAATTCATATTATTGTTGAATATGAGATTTTGTCACCAAATATTATGGAAACCATGTATTATATAGCTATGTACATCTATGTATGAGTAGGTACATAATGCACTATTCTTGGTATGAGTGTACGCACCAACTGGCTATCGACATTACGAGAGGTCCTTCAGTACATGTGTGTTATTTGTAGGCTTGCTATTGACTCCATACGTCACCTTAGGCATGCACTGTTGATTGGAACGCAACAGTATGAAAATGTATAACTGGTTTTTCAAATAAAATTTCTCTGCTCTGTCAGGTTGGATCCAGAAATTGTTTGATGTCCTATTCCGCCGTCCCATTCATCAATTAATGAATATGAAATCAACTTTCTATCAAACTTTTTTTTTTCATCATTAACAAAAAAAACTGAGTATTTCAAAAATGAGCAGGAGAATTCTTATTGGAAAGTCATAGAATACTGATTTTGCTCGGGCCTTGGGCCCAATTGAATCAAAAATAGGCCCTACAACAACCTCATATGAAGAATATTCCAAGAATTTTATTTATTGTTATTACTGTATTTCACAGAAAACAAAAGTTGATTTTGTATCAAGTGCGTAAAATTTGTGTTTTTTCAATAACACAGGTCGAGGCCAAAAATTCTCTAGATTGGCATGAAAACACGAATTTTATAAACGAAATACGAACAACATTTTTTGTACAATAATTGTGAATGTGAATTCACATAATTTAGATTCCTAACAAAACATTGAACTGTTTATATTCTTTCAAAAAAATTGAAATATCTGATAAAATTGTGTAATCTACCCTTCAAGAAATATTTAACGTTTGTGATCTGCAGCAACATGGAACATCTTCGGGAATTTATTTTGAATCTGATTGTTCAAACTTTACTGCCAATCAATTATTATTCCAATAAATGAAATTGTTTTATGATGAATAATCAATAGATAATTGACTCTGTTGAAAATAAATCCTTCATAAAGTAATATTTCATGATTATTTTGTGAATTATTTTGGCAGTGAAAAAAGGTAAACATTTACATATCAATATAGAGATGCAGAAATGTCGAGTTTTTTTGACAGTTGTATAAAATAGTATATTGTTCAACGAGCATGGAATGATAGCATAGGCGAATGCTGCAATCATTCGAGTAGGAAATTAGCATTCTGTGCAAGTTATGCACTATAATTTTTGTACGGCTGTAACAGATATAAGCGGCATCTTCGATTTCTTCGTCTTGTAGCCACCAGATTTCATGTGAATAATAGTAGATTGTTTTATTAGGATCAAAAGTGACACTTTGTTTGACAAGCGAATTTTGCATTCGCGAGGCGGAGCGTTTAGCGAAGCCGAGCGATATTGACAAATAATCCATGTGGTGAGACTATTCTACCAGCATTAACAGCAGGTTAGGTTTTCTAGGATGATCGAATTGTAGTTTCAATATAAATACAACCACAGAGTGACATATTTGTGTATGGACCACCGGTGTTCTAATGGCAAATACCGCGCCAGTGCCAGCTATAGGAACAAGACGTGGAAAATGTTAGGTTAGTGAGCATATCAACAATAATAATAGTGATTATTTATTCCTCTCCATACTACACTGTGTTCGACCTGATAATCAAATGAAGCTGAACAATATGGTTGTTTGAGACAAAAAACTATTGCTTGCCGTGATTATTCAAAAACAAGCTATAAATCCCGAAAATAACGAATGAAATACAGATCAAGCAAGTATTTGAATCTTTAAGGCTTCCCTGATCAAAACAAAAATACTCAACTGAGATGTTTATAATTCCAATACTAAACTATAATAAGGTGTATTTATATCTCCAGCATGGGTATGAAATGCGAAATCTGCTGAAATCGGAAACAAATCAGGTATGCGTCTCAACCCAAATAACCAACCGTCACAATGTTGTTCATTCTTCATGACGTCCAGTAGATCCTTTTTAGTTCCTATGTTGCCTAGCAACATACCTATTTTTGTGTCAGTAATAGAAACGTCAATTTGAGAGCTAATTTTGGTATCAAAATGGACGACTTTTGTGTCGGTTGCAGAAAAATAAATAAATGTCATTCCTTGCAATTTGATATTGTGATATCAGATACGGAAATAAAATTCATGACATACAAAGTACCTCATTGATGTATCGAACACTCAACACAGTAAAACAAGAGCAGTCTTGTGTTATAGCCGTAGACAAATAGACAATAGTACATCGTTACATTAGGATCAAATATGACACATTGTTTGACACGCAATATTTGCGGTTGCGTGGCGAAGCAAGCCGCGAAGCCGAGCATTCAAATTTTGCGAGTCGAAACATCGAGAAGATAGGTCAACTTTAAATGCATATAGTTCTATCCCTTATGATTCAACATCCTAGGAGGGGTAGATGTAAAGTTGTGGTCGTTTCCGGTAAACCAGAAGTGATGGAAGAGTATGAAATACTGTAAAATTTTCCAATTATCGAATCCCACATCCCTGTCAAACTTGCATCTCATACCTTCAGAAACCATGGCTGGTCTAATGGAATCGGTGACACCCGGTATAGCATGATATTTCTGTTACAGAGGAAAATTCGAATGTGCAGTCCTGGATTGCCCGGAATGGTTGGGAATACATCCAGGACCGGGATGTTACAAGACATACGATGTTAACAAATGCTGTTCCGTTGGAAAAAATTGTCGTAAGTTCAGTTTTCTTCTTTATTCCCAAATATCAATTCTTAAACTACATTTTTTGTATTAAAATTGTATATGTTTTATTTTATCTAGATTTGTCGTTTCAAGTATATTATGTTCAAAATACTTGAACATATTTATGGATAACTTGGGCACCCCCAAATAATTGATTCATATTTTGCTTCCATCTGTTGCACAAAAGGGAATCCCTATTATGCTCGAGGGGCATCGTGCATACTTATATAGATAATATAGGTATTGATTTTTGTCCAATTTTGGAGGTTATAAGTTTTTGGGGATTCTACCTTTGGCAGAGCTTTGCCATTTAATATAGATAAACGACTTTTGATGGAGAGTTGTTTGACATACTCCGAGGTTAACGATGAGAGGATGTGCTGACTGGGTTTGCTACTGATAGAATGATGCTGAGATTTCTGATGAACATTTCCAGTGGAAGTTTCTATAGCAACGTGAATGTTCGCCTACTTTTTTACGGTGTTCCAATGATATCAAGGAATTAGTGAGTGTGGCATCACCCATCCGGCAAATGACTCATCCCTGAATGGAATCTAAGAGTATCAGCGTAGTTATCTTTGAGTACTGCACCCCATATGCGGGAACAGTATTCTGAAACAGGCCGTATCTGTGCTTTGTAGTTCATGAGAAGTAGTTGAGGTATAAAGTAGATTTTCGCTAGGAATAAATAAGCGCCAAGTTTTTGTGAAGCAGCTTTCGTGATGGATCTGACATGTTTCTACGATGAAAGACTAATCGTTGTGAGTTCCTGGTTTTCTGAGATGAAAGGGAAAATCTGGAAGAAAACGCAGTAATAAAGAGTACTGTCATCTGCAAACCTGTGGATTGAACAGGTGGTTACTCTCAACAGATCATTGATATGAAGTAGAATAGAATATTTATACACCAAGGTAGTGAAGAATATCAGTATTCGAGGGACGAAGATTTTATCCCGATGCTCCAGCCGTTGGGTATGAGGTCCCGTGGTAATATACTATTTTCTTTACTACCAAGGTGTATATTACATTTTTTTTCACCACTAGCAATACACATGAACCCATTGTCACTATGGAAGCACTACTTTACAATTCTAATCAAAATCTAGTAGCCATGACCATCACAGCATATGACAAGTCATTATTGATAAATGCCTACTAGATTCGAGTGCCCTTCCTGCGAATCTCGCATCAGAACAGTGAATTCGGGTTACTTATAATGACTATGTCTTTATTGACTAGTAGTTCATAAAATGACGAAAACTACCTTCGTAGTAAAAAGACACTTTACGCCTCGAGAAGGAGTAAATAATGGTAGGTATTATAGCTAGTGGTGGCATGTAACAATAAATGTGTAAAGTGGTACTTTTTTAACGAGTAGGCAATTCCTATGAGTAAAAAGACACTTTATGCACGTGTTACATACAATATTTCTCCTTCAGCTACAGCTACAACTTATGATGTAAATGATTAAATGATGTTTCGCAAATATTATCAAGTACATTTACTCATTTCATGTCAATTTACTGATAACACCTGGTTTTTGAGATCGAGATTCGCTAATTTGAATAAATCGCTCATACCGCTCGCTTTTAGCGAGGTTGATCAGAACATGAGATGCGAGCATATTATTATCTAATTCGCGAGGATATCGTAGCGCCTTCCTCCTGCTCCCATCTCTATTTCACTGGCTCTCCATACGAAATACGAAGTCAGCAGCCATGATTTGTTCGCTTGCTGTTTTGCTGAATCCCGTAAAGTGTGTGGTGTACACCTAGCGAAAACGACCATTCGGTTTTGCATTATTTCTGTTCGAACAGACATGTTCATCGAACAAAACAGCCTACCAAAAACGCAGTGTATGGCCCCCTTTTCACGGAAGCATTCATTCCATCGCCTAGCAACAACCGTGAGAAAAAGTGTACTTTTTTTCACACTTCTCCGTAAAATAATGTGACAGTATTTTGATATTGAAGAATTGTACACTTTAGGCAGCTAAATTCTGCGAGTATATGATGAACCAAAATAACAATTTCATTGATAACGTTTTATTTTCGGACGAGGCAACGTTTTATTTGAACGGTCATGTTAACCGGCAAAACACTTTTGTTATTGGTCTGATGAAAATCCACACTGGATGCAAGAGTACCATACGCAAAGACCACAAAAAACTAACGTATGGGCTGGTATTGTGAGAAATACAATTATTGGTCCATGTTTTTTTGATGAAAACATAACAGGAGCATTTTATCTGGATTTCCTACAAAATACATTGATTCCTGATCTGATCCAGCTTTTTCCTGATATTCAAATACCCACTAATGTAGACCGCAGAATCTGGTTTCAACAGGATGGCGCACCGCCACATTTCGCAGTAACTGTGCGCGATTTTTTAAACACAACTTTTCCACAAAGGTGGATAGGAAGAAGGGGACCAGTGGAATATGGCCTGCTAGATCACCTGATCTGAGCCCATTAGACTTCTTTTTATGGGGCTATTTAAAATCTAAAGTCTACTTAAACAGACCTGGAAATATCCCTCAACTACAAGACCGAATCAGACAAGAAATACAGAGCATAACACCCGCTATGCTGCAGAACAATTTGAACATTTATTGTGAATTTTCGTTTGTTTGTTTGTTTTTGGAAGTTTATCACATTAATTGCATAATTACATAATTCCATTTAATTTGTTTATTACATTTAGAAACGTATTACTTTCCATAAACAATTTTCATATTTTTTTTGCATTTTTGCCCACCCCGTACCAATTTGAAGCAACATATTATATATTTTTGGAATCAGCTCAGCAAGGGCAATTCTGAAATTGAAAAAAAAGGGGGGCTCCATTTGAAAAAAATGGTGATGACGTCATTACACTAAAGTGGTTCACCCTGTATTTTAGACTATGATCTGAAACAATAGTAAATTGAAATCAAAAATCGACCTGTTTCGGGAATTCCTAATTTTATTGTTCATTTAGCCAATAATGAATTTATGCGTTACTTTATGGACGCACTGTATTGAGAGTGCATTTTTTTGACAGTGGTAGAAGAACAATGTTGTTGGCAAAATATATCCGTTGCTTTGCTTTGCTTGCTTGCATTGCTATCAGACAATATGACACGATGATGGACATAGCATCCACATATGATGTGTAAGAAGGCATAAGGTAGTAAGCCATATAATGCTGATTTGTGCCAAACACGGTCACATGCTTCCGATTCATCCATGAGTGCCACAGCTAGAGATTCTCAATGTTTTTCTAAAATGATGTGTGCCTTATATGGGTAACATAGACATGTAAATTCCCAGTTGATTTCCGATGACGAAAGTCATATTGTCGATCATTTATTATTCCCGAGCTCTCTAGATATTTGACGACATATACAGGCTGATTCACGGTGGATGGCACGTTAGACGTTTATGGAGAACAGAACGTAGGAGCATTCTGAAATTTTGGTTACTCACGTGGTTGCTCCTGTTCTATCGATCTAAAATATTTTCAGCTCTGCAGCGTTGCCGCTTCTATCGAAAAGTAGCAACAACTTTGTTATTTTAAATGGAACACCCTGTATTTTATTGCATTTTCAGATTCTCTCTGGAGAGCTGATTTCATCTATGCATCACACTTGAGGTCTAGCGGAAATGATTACAGAGATATAGGGTGTGAAAAATCGTCATTTTTCAACTTTAGGAATTTTTTTTGTCGAAACTATTCATTATTGGACAAAACGGCTCACATGTCCCTATCTCAACTTTTGATCAACTATCTACTGACATTTAATTGAAACAAATACAGGGTCGTGCAGAATTCAGAATCTTGATCACCCGGTATATGTCCCAATTAAATATCAGTAGATACTTAATCAAAAGTTGAGATAGGGACATGTAAGCCGTTTTGATCAATAATGAATAGTTTCGACAAAAAAAATTCCTAAAGTTGAAAAATGACGATTTTTCACACCCTATATCTCTGTAATCATTTCCTTTGACCCCAAGTGTGATGCATCGATGAAATCAGCTCTCCAGAGAGAATCTGAAAATACAATGAAATACAGGGTGTTCCATTTAAAATAACAAAGTTGTTGCTACTTTTCGATAGAAGCGGCAACGCCGCAGAGCTGAAAATATTTTAGATCGATAGACCAAGAGCAACTACGTGGGTAACCAAAATTTCAGAATGATCCTATGTCCCGTTCTCCATAAACGTCAGGTATATACAGACAGAATCTAGTTCATCATCAGTAGATCATGGATTGAAGCAATTTTTGTGATCAGATGATGAGGATGAAGTTATCATACCTCCATCTCCATGTTGTTTTATATATATATAGGGGGGGGAAAGGTAGCCTTCTCCGATATAAATATAGGAAATTGAAACAAATTAGCTATCATCAATTCCTCAATTCCTCAAGACATCGCTATCAGAAACATTCAGTGTATGTGTATGTAGGTAAATTCAAATTCTCATCTTATTCGATGATTGTTTTTAGATTCAGCTAAACAGACCATTGGCGAATGCGTAGTAGACAACGAGAAATATCTAGAAGGCCAGAAATTTTATCCAGACAACACTTGCCTAAAATGTGTTTGCCCTAAGGAATTCAATGGAAAACTGGAGGCTCCCCATTGTAAAAGAACCCGTTGTTCCAGCCAAATACGTCATTCACAGGATATCGCTAATAACTGTGCTCCCTACTACGACACCACCAAGGATGGAGTGATTTGTTGTCCAGATGCATGGGTTTGTCGTAAGTATCATCATTTTTCACTCACTGAATCGAAAGTATGTGTGTCATGAGTTTCTATATCCCTACGAGAATGAAGTTCATTCGAGTAGGAAATTAGCACTCCGTGCAAGCTATACACTATACTTTTTCTACGGCTATAATAGATAACAGTGGCATTTTCGATTTCTTCGTCTTGTAGCCATCTGATATCCTGTCCAGTGATGCTCATATATCAGACAGAGCTGTCATTGCTTGAAATTTGACATTCCATAAGCGATGAGTTTTTTTTTAAATAATAACACACATTGTGATATCAGATACGGAAATAAAATTGATGACATACAAAGTACCTCGTTGATGTATCGAACATGCACAGTAAAACAAGAGCAATCTTGTGTTATACCCGTAGAAAATAGTATATTACGTAATATTTGTTGTAAGAAGCATATTACGCACGAATGGAAAAGTTACGCACGTAGCTGCGGAGCGGCGAGTATGTAAATTCATATACTTTATTTACTGCCATATTAGTACATCAGAAAATTCTGGACAAACAGTCCGAATTATGATTCTTGACAGTTATGTCTACTTACTGAGGCTGTATCTCGTGTGTTCTTGCCTACTTTCTATAGTGGCCGTAGGTAAATGACAGTTTTTGAAATTCTCATCTCATACATTTCGTTATAGTCCAATAGTACGCAATCAAAACTTTCGAGTGCAATAATTACATTTACACAATATACAAAGTCATTCAGCCATAGAATGGAAGTGTCTAATCGATTTTCTTCCAGTTCCAAATTCTGTCAATTTGTCAATAGTAAGTATACCGGGTGACACAGGAGACATGTAGCAGCCTGTAGTTTTTTTATTTGTACAGATAAAATTCTGAATTTCACAGGGGGTATATAATAAATGGTAGCGCACTTTACGAACTCAACGACAATTTTTTTCAACCACCTGTTTGACCAGAAGTGACCCCAACTTTTTATTTTAAATGTCACCCTGTACATTTCTTCAGTCTATCTTTTTTGCCTTGAAATTCTCTATCCAACCATGTATCACAAAGTGGCATTTATTTCTCAATTCGCTGTTGAATTGCTTTTTATTCAAAAAGAATGAGTTGGCTGTGACATGAATTCGATGATATATCGACACTTGGTAGGCTTTAAAATTTGAAGATCATTAGTAAACCGATATTATTTAAAATGTTTTGATATTCTGATCAATGTCTGCAGGTGGTCAATAGCTTGTTTGAGTCAAGATGAAAACCTTCGAAAATAACTCATGATATTGAGGAATTTAAGATAGGAACATATTTTTCCGAACTCAGCTACTCGTACAGAAACTATCTGTCTTTTATTTTCGCCATGTACCACATGATCTTTCCATTTGGAATAATAAAACTAAAATTGTTCCTCTTATACGATTGCATCAATAATTTTTCTTCTTCATTTGTGTGTTGATTAAAATTGCATATTATCAATAGAGACGGAAAATGTATTCAAGAAACGATATGTTGTTAATATGCAATTTTAATCAACATACAAATGAAGAAGAAGAATTATTGATGCAATCGATTAACTGTCAAAAACATTAAAACATTTTGTGTAGGTCCACCGCCTACTAAGTGAAATAATTATGATAAAATAGGCTGATAGCCCTGTGGATCATCGTATAAGAGGAAGAATTTTAGTTTTATTATTCCAAATGGGAAGATCATGTGATAGGTACATGGCGAAAATAAAAGACAGATAGTTTCTGTATGAGTAGCTGAATTCGAAAAAATATGTTCCTATCTTAGATTCCTCAATATCATGAGATATTTTCGAAGGTTTTCATCTTGACTCAAACAAGCTATTGACAACCTGCAGACATTGATCAAACTATCAAAATATTTTGAATAATATCGGTTTACTGATGATCTTTAAATTTCAAAGCCTACCAAGTGTTGATATATCATCGAATTCATGTCACAGCCAACTTATTCTTTTTGTATAAAAAGCAATTCAACAGCGAATTGAGAAATAAATGCCACTTTGTGATACATAGTTGGATTGAGAATTTCAAGGCAAAAAAAAAAGACTGAAGAAATGTACAGGGTGACATTTAAAAAAAAAAGTTGGGGTCACTTCTGGTCAAACAGGTGGTTGAAAAAAATTATCGTCAAGTTCTCAAAGTGCGCTACCATTTATTATATACCCCCTGTGAATTTCAAAATTTTATCTCTTCAAATAAAAAAACTACAGGCTGCTACATGTCTCCTGTGTCACCCGGTATATACTATACTACACATCTTCAACACATATTTATTTGTTCAGAAAAATAGACCGAAGCACTTCTGTCAAAAATATGCCTGCTCAAAATGAATTGTAGCTTTACATACTCTAACTCTGTGTCCATTAAGTATCCCCACCAACTGGTTAACTTTTTAACGAAAAATCGAAAGTTTGGGGTTATTTCCGATTAAACCAGAAGTACGGCAAAAAATGTGAATTGAACTATACACAACCCCCAAATGTCGTTTTTCTATCTTCAATATAATAAATTTGTTATAGGGGTGAGACACCTTAGATAATCACCCAGTACCTATACTTGAATAACTCTTGAAATGTTTTATTCATGATATTGAAAACTTGAAACATTACATTGATGTATTCATATATATATTTCAGCAACTCCAACAGACAAGATCATCACTGTCAACCCAAATGCAGACAAAAGTTCAGGTAATCTATAAAGCCTTCCTTATTTTTCCCCAAATCTTCAATTTGCATGAGGTATAACAAAAGGGGTAGTGCCATTTGGCATTGCCTGAAATTATGGCGGATCTAGTTCCACCTAGCTTCATGAAATTTGTTCCAAACTCTCACTTTGTGAGATATTTCCATTGAAAAATTACAAATTGACACCCGAAATGTTCACGCTATCATTTAGCGTGATAGCAGATACGTTACAGGTGTTGAAAAAATACCTGATGATGAAATACTCATATATATAGCATCAATAGTTGCATATAGTAGGTACATATAAACTCGGGTTCACACCATTATTCGTGGTCTTTGAAAAAAATCTTGTTAGTGTGATAAAGGTTCTATAGTTACTATGAAAAAACTTTCGTTGCATTAACAAGATATTCAATCGTGGCTATTAGGACAACATGTTTTGTTGTGTGAAGATTGTATCAAGTAAATATTATGAATCGATCAGAGAAAGCGTTTTTATTCCTATACATACAGGGTGTCTCGAAATTAAGTATAAATATTTAAACCACAGATTCTGGGAACAAAAATAGTGAAAATAGTTTATGTAAACATGAGTCCAGAAATGGCCTCCTGGGGAGTTAAAGCCATCTGGAAGAGTGCCCGAGATATTGTTTTTTTTGTGAATATTTCTAAAACCCTCTCTGATGAGGTAACAAAATTTCGAACAGGCATAATACCGTTCATGCCCGATTTGCAAATGTAAATAGTTTTCCGAAATTTCATCAGGGGCGTAGTAAATAAGTCGGGCTAAGGACATTTCTTCCCCCAACTTTTTTCTGTATGCAATTTTTTCGGAAGTTTGACCAGAAAATATGAAAATATCTTGATTTTTACTCGAAAATTATTCTCTCATTCCATTTTCGAGATAAATCGATTTTTAAAGTCTGATTCGTAACAAATATGGTGCTTATTCCTTATAATAGGGCATCAAATTTCCCAAAAATTATGTTTTGATGGAAAATACCCTTTTTTCAACATCTATATACTTGTGATGTTTGATTCAAAGTATGGGGGGAAAAAATAAGAATAGTATATATATATATCAAAAAAGATTATGGTAGGTACCCTATTATGAAAAAGTTCTTATTTTATTACACAGCAGACCTTATTTAAAATCGTTTTATCTTGAGAATGGTGAGTGTTATCGGAACTAAACAAAACTATAATTTTAACGTCAAAATGGTGATATTCTCATATTTTCTGGTCAAACTGCCAAAAATTGCATCAATAAATAGTCGGGGGAAGAAATGCCCCTAATAGCTCCTTCTATTTCTCCTTGATCTAAAAATTGTGGGAAATTCTTAACATTCCAAATCGGGCATGAATAGTAATATAAATGTAGTTCCGTTATCTCACCACAGAGGGTTTCGGAAATATTCACAAAGAGCAATCATCCTGGGCCCACTTTCAGATGGCTATACAGGTTGTCCCAGAATTTCTGGGACACAGAGCTACCATGTTCAATACAGTTCAAAATTAGTTGATTGGTACATAAAAAGTGTACCGTTTGTCCGTGAGACGAGTTGAAAGTTAACATAAAAAACACATGTTTGTATGCTTTTCGAAGATGAATGAAGCAAATTGGATGATAAATGTCAGTTTGTCATACATCTAAAACAAATTGGATGAAATTCGACAAAAGTTCATTTCAGAGGATAATCGTTTCTTTAGTGATCAAGGAAACCCGAAAGAATTTGTTTGAAGGGTTGAAACCACTTTCACCCTCTGAATTTTTTTCTGAACATTCTTAGAGGTGCGAGAGAACTGATTGATTATCTTCTTTTTATTACTCGGGCGAAAATCTCGTATTCTGCATAATTCCGATAGAAAAATATGTTTTCTCATATAATACTAAATGATATTCCTCGTAGAAGGTTGATAAAATGTAATATCATTACGCACGATGTTCTTTGAACATTATAGGTATTCCCTTTCGTGCGCTCCATGCGATAAAGAAATATACAAAATCAGTTGGCAGTGGAAAAAAAGGAATTGACATCTTTATTGATGAAGATATAGGCGTCATATTGAACATTGATTAAAAAAAACGTTCTGCCTTTGTTTACACTGTCAACTAACTTTTTATTTATAATGATATTATAAACTTTTTCTAGGAATATCTGCTATCATTACTTATGAGAAAATATTTTTTTCCTTCGCAACTATGCGGAATACGAAATTGTCATAAACTTACCAGAGAAATAACAATAATATAATTGTGTTTGTGTTATGTTTCAGATTTGACTTGTAAATTTGGTGATAAAACACTCAAACTTGGAGAAGGACTCGAGAGCAAAGTGAACTATTATGATGGATCAACAAAAAAGGCCAGATGTGAATGCATTCTGCCTCCTCTTTTGACTTGCAGACAAATCATTTGAAATCAATTAATACTGCTTTTATCAATGGAATCTGAGAAATTTTGATATAGGTACTGACTATATTGAAATTTCGATTATGAAGATTGATTTTCAATAAAATCGCGATACGTATCTAATGATGTAAAACAATCCGAAGTGTTTATTAGTTTGTCTACATTGTCTTCAATTCTACATTTTTCTACAACTCAATTTAATAGTCATCAAAATATATCCGCAGAGATATATTTTTCCGTCTATTAATTCCTTGAACCCATATCACACTATTCAGAATTCTGTTAGTTGCATTCAGAAACAAGCAGATCATTTTCATCATATTAAAAACTTCAATCCATGTATGCTTCCAAGTAAAAAAATTCTTGTATTTCCTCCTGAACAGAACCTTTTATTAGCTCTTGAGAGATTGAAGACCTATTCCTAGTGGAACAGAAATTATATACTTTAGGAGAAACTTCACACGCGAGAGGAAATTAATGAAACTGCTGATTTTTCATCTGGAAATCAAAAAAATTCACTGAAAGTGACACTTGTGTTGTACTCTTCATTTCAAATATTTCGACTAAATATATTCTGGAATCAAGAGGTAATGTGGCTTCAGTGAACTGTCATTATTTAAGAGGGGAAAGGAATGTCACATTTATTTGCGTTGTTTTTTAAACATAAAGTTTTGTCTTATCAATAATAATTCAATAATATAATTTTCAATATCAGGAAATGCCTGTTATTAAAATAATTGACGCTGAGGATAATATTCAAATTTTACCAATTGCTGATCAATTGCTCAGGGGCGTCATATCAGTGAATACCAGGGAGGGGTGAAGAAACTCAGACGACATTCCTGTAATGCGAAAAATCCGCCTCAGGCAAAATTTTTCTGGGGTTCAAGTCAAATGGCTTCAAATTCAAAAATAGATTTTTTTCTTGTTTCTTTAACTTTGGCCTTTTTCTGCTACTGAGGCTAATCACCGACGCCGGTGAGCACACTACCCCCCAACCGGAAATTTTGCCGAATCCTCAGAGGTTAGGAATCTTTAACCATGGCCTCGGGACCGCCGGCTTAACGTCCCCTACAAAGGACGGCATATCCGTACCATACTGGTACCATGGTAGCTGTAGCAATGATATTATGCTATTCCGCTACAGATGTGCGGGCTTACGCGGCGTTTCCTCGAATAATCACCCATATCCAAGTACTAACCGCGCTGGACACTGCTTTACCTCAGATATCGAACGTATTAAAGCCATTTATTATCTGAGAGAGAAGATGAACACGTCAAAAATAAATTGAAGAACATCAAAATAGACTAGTCCAAACCGCACAACGATAACTTGAATGGATTCAGAGATATGAGCATTTGAAATGGGTCAGAATATAACTGGTCACCCGGTACTTTGATAAAATCGAAAATTTAATTTCTTCCAGACTGACCCCAATTCCATAACATTATTATATTATAAATTATTCAGTTACATGTTCCCAGATTGTTGCAATTGATATAAAATGATCTGAAAATAGGAACAATATGAATTGGAATGAGACAATCCTGGTACATTCTGTTCTGCCAGATGTATGAAATTCTTCTTCCAGTCCAGATGTTCAGATTATGTTTGGCAAAACTTTGTGAGAAGCCAATGGCAGATTCTGGTCCGATAAAACTACTTGCAGCACCCTCCCTTGCGAGGGAATCTGCCGTTTCATTACCTTCCATACCAGAGTGGCCAGGAATCCAGACCAGAGACAATTTGTTGAGTATTCCATTCGCAGAGAATCTTTTTTGGCAATTGAATACCAGTCTAGGAGATGGTTTAATTGGTTGGGTCGGTTTCAGAGCCACTTGGCTATCCCAGCTTATTGTAATTGTTCCATGTGCGAGGTTGCTTTCCTCCAATCTCTCCACATACAAATCATGCAATGTTGTAAATTTCCACCTGAAATACGGTTGCATATAGCAGTGCCGGATTAAGCCAGTGCGAAGCCTGTAGCAAATTAGATCAAGGGGTCCTTGGTTTGCTTTAGGTTTTCAGGTTATGAAATAAAATGAAACAAAACTATTACAAGTGAACTTTTCTGAATTTAATATGAGCAAATTTAGAGATGATACTTTCAATATCAATTCTTTAAGCGAATCATGCTCTATCTCCATCAAAGTGAGATGATTCAGACGTTTTTGGCCCATCCTGTTCCTTATTTCATTTTAAATATGTTTTAATGTCAAAAAAGAAAGTTCGACACTACAGTTAGTCATCATAAGAAACAAGTGCAAAATCGCAAGGCAATTTCTACGTTTGGAAAATACGATTCTAAGGAACTATTTAATGAAAGTTCATAAGATTGCAGTTCCATGCAGAGGCTCCTCCAGAGGTTTGTTGCTGTGAATGACAGTAGCCACATTCGTTTTCAGCAGCTCAGCAAACTGCACTAATTCATCACCTAGGCTGGTTTCCAAATTATCTTTGTAAGCACTTACCATTATTGAGAATTTTTCCAAAATCTCTTTTGTTGTCATTGATTTCAGCTGTCAGAATACTCCAAAAACTCTAGTAATTTTATGATATGCTTTATCACGTTAAGTTGAAGCAGACAAGTACGTACAAGTACGTTATCAATAATGACGATAAACACCTGAACTCCAAAACGTTGTCCAGTTGTTTGATTCCCGATATTAAACACCTGAGCTTCAAAATGTTGTCCAGGTGTTCGATTTTCAACGAATTCGTCGAGTGTGCCTGTGATGATGAATAATTTGCAAGCTGTTTTCAGATATCTTCGTGAATATTTTGAATAAAACTAAAAGAGAGTATATCAGTGAACTCGTTGAAAATGTATCTATCAAATGATATAAAAATATATAAGGTGTTCTATTGAAAATAAGGAAGTTGATAATACTTAATTCCGGAAAACGGAAAAACTATGAAAACGTGGCAACAATAGCGATATAATTTTCCAAACCGCCACATTCCCAATTCACCATGTATGAAAATTCATAAAGATCTAATGACTGGTTACTGAGATAATATATGGATGGTTCCATACATTTGATCAACTCTGTATAAATAAATGTATCTCGATTGTTATTACACCAAGTCATTCACGTTATTCGACACGAAACATTGTGGCTAAAGAAATTGCTTATCAAAAACTTTTTTCTTTTGGATGGATGGGGACCTATTAGCACTACATTTTGAAAATATTTTCATGTTGTTTTAAAATGTAGTTTCTATTCAGCCTAGAGAAAAATCCTTCGAACAATGAAATTATTTTTTAGTCACAATGCTTCGTCTCGAATAACGTGAATAACCCAGTATGTATGTACAGTATTGTACACTATACTAATTAATTTGGCAGTACTTCTCTCTTTTTATTGAGGTGCTTATTCAACCCCTTGATGGAGGCATTTGGTGAAAGATGTGACGGTGTATACTGTATACTGAGAAAATATTTTGATGAAATAGGTACCTGAGAACCTGAGTGGGCCAATAATGTCATCATACCACATCATACCCACTGATTAGTCATCGATCATTATGATCAAACAAAAAAAAATCTAACGGTCCATTTCAGTCAATCTACCTATAGCAGAAATCATAGATAGGTACATTATGAACAAGCAAGTTAATGAATAATTGGGCTCTTCAGAAATTCAATATCTTTCATCGTAATTACAGGCCATTTTGTCAACCGCCAGCAGCTACTTGTGGCACATTTCGAGCCGATAAAGGCTAATGGTAGATGGTATATTTAGTCATTTAAATAATGGCTTATGGGTTTGCTTCATATTTAAAGCTAAACGTTCACTAAACGTTGAGAATGGACCTGTTTCCAAATCAATAAATTATTGTTATATCCATGTGTATTATATCAAGATTCCCAGATACAAAATGAGAATCCATATCATTACAGCTTTGCGTTCTAGATGAGTGGTGGTCTCAACAACCTTTCCTCCTAAAGTGTTCATCATGAGATGGTTAATTATTATACACCGAGGTAGATGAAAATATCATTATTACCCAGGGACCAAGATTATTATATCCAAAGGTTTCAGTCGAGGGGTATTCACTGTGAAAGCTAAATATGGATCTATATATTATATCACTATGAGAGCCCAACTTTTCAATTTTAATTAAAATTTAGTAGCCCTGACCATGACAGCATATGACAACTCATTATTGATAATTACCTACTAGATTCGAGTGCCATTCCTGCGGAACTCGCATCAGAACAAATAACAATGAATTCGGGTTAATTTTAACAGATGTGCCTATGTCTTACTACCTTGGTTGAAACAACACACTTTACGCCTTGAAATGGAGTAAATAATGGTAGATTCTACATAATATAATTTACACAGTGCTCAACTCCTCTCCACCCCAGTTAATACAGATTGATCTCAGAGATATAGGAGGGCATCATCACATTCATGTCACACATCACATACGTGACTCGAAATGAGAGTCCCATTGAAATCACAATGAATGCTATTCCCGACCCATTTGGTCATTTCATGATTCACATTATGATGCCAAATGAAACTCACAGTACGTATCTGGCGACTCCTCATTCAACATCAAAGTTGATTCATTCCGTTTGTTACATAAATAGACAAGAATGTGAGGTTCCAGTGAGTCTTTAGTTTTATATAATTTCTCACAAGAAACTGCCATCAATAGTTCTATTCAATTTCATATACCTTTTTTATGTCGCAGAGATTTTCATACTGTCGAGTATCCATTAAATGATTCATTCTTTGAAAAATTAGATCAAATTCATGTAGAATTTGCATTATCGAGAAAGAAAGGAACAGGTGAGGAAGGAAGGAAGGTGATTGACTACCTACTAGTGAGAAAATATTAATTTTACTAACGAGTGCGGAAAGTGATACTTTCCCGCACGCGACTGCCGTTGACCAGATCGACGCGAAGCGAAGCGGACTCCATCTTTGCTATATTTTTGGTTACGTGGATACGAAGTGCGTGGAAGCTTTCGCTCGACAGCGAGGGAAACTTCGAATTCAATAAAAAATGTGAATTCCTGACCGCATCACTCTTTGAATTTTAATTTTCCGGAAAGGAATAATGCTTAATTCACCTAATAATAAGTTAGATTTATTTTAACATACAGAGTAAATAAGTTGAAA